CACACGCGCTGCTTGCTCGTCCGCTTTCTCTTCTCCTCCTCCTCTCAGGTGCTTCGTGGTCCCCTGCTGCCTGTGACTGAGCTTTCTTTCACGAGTTTTCCTGACCCAGACCTGCGGGTATTTTTATTAGAGTCAGGACGGTGTTTCTTAACTGCCGGATATTTATGAAGGACACTTGTGCACCTAGCAGCATGCTCCCATGTTCTTACCTACAAGTGCTTTTCTCCCTGTTTGGCATTTAATTCCTTAGCTTTATTCTCCTTCTGCTGCAGTAACCACCTCCAGAAAATATTTGCTGTTAGTAACTGGTATTAGTTGCAGTTTCCTCTGCCCCGTTCAAACTGTGCCATTTTTTCACATGTGTGAGAAGATACTTCAAGCTAGAAATGCTTAAGGTCTGTCAGAATAAAGTAATGTAAATGCAGTTTAAAGAAATAGGGTTTATGTAAATACAGTTTCAAAGTCTGGAAACAGTAATTCAATCTAAGGCTAGTAGCATTTGAATAGAAATTATCCTTAGAATCATTTTGGAATGCTAATGTCATTGTAAAAGATACATAATTAAATATGTATTTAAAAGAAATAGCATGCTTCATGAAATTCTCCTAGTCTTTCTTGCCCAGCAGCCTAAGGGTAAAATTCTGATCATGTCTTGCATTTCTTACATTTTCTCAAGGCATGGTTGGTGTCACAAAACCAGTTTAATAGCAAGTTCACTGCCCTAATGGGGTTGCATCAAAATAAAACAACATAAAGCCCAAGACATAAGAGATAGGAGATAAACCTATTAGTGAAATCATAAGGTTAAACAAGTGTGGGGATTTTTATTTTTGCTTTCTTGTTTGGTTTGTCAACAAAGTCACCTAAAAGCTCAGCAAGAGACATAAGGTTTGAGAAAAAGGTGAATAAGAAATGGCACGTCCTCCTGTTGTTCCATATGCTGCTGTGGTGCCAGTGACTTTTCTTCTGCCCACGCTTGGTTGTTACCAGAAGATACTGGCTTTCTTGAGAGCAGATAGTTTCAATTTTTGTCTGCCAAGTCTGCATCTCAATGTTTTGCCTTGTTACCATAATCTCCTTTTCAACACTTCCATCTTCTTTCTCACTGTAAGCACAGTGTGGCTGGGGACAGGCTAGGGAGGCCTTCCAGATTTCTAGGGTAAGGTCTGTGCTCTGACTCTGCACTGAGCTAAGTCTCATCAAGAAAGCCTACCTGAATCAGACAGGTGGGTGGTATGGCACATTCCTACCACATCCTTTAATTTCACATCATTGTCTTCAGAAGAAATGCAGAGTGCTTTGCATGTGTTCCTGAGGAGCAGAAGCTGAGGAGCCAGGCAGTCTGGCTCCAAGATGGTTTGATTTCTTTCCTCAGAGCGAAATTATTACCTTCAGGGGATACCCTAGTGAGGAGTATGAAGTGACGACAGAAGATGGGTATATCCTTTCCATTAACAGAATTCCTTATGGAAGAAAAGGCCGCGAGGGAAGCAAAGGTAAGATTTATGTCCTTCTGGAAAAATGGGAAGTCATGAAAAAGCTCTCTTTGATTGATAAAACTTTTGCACTTGTAATAATCCAGAAAAAAATTAAAGACTACATGACCCGTGCAGTTAGAATGTTTTATTGGTGAATGTTAAGTCCAAAATAGATTAGGCACTTGTAGAGCGGCTTGAGTAGAGGAAGGGAGAAGGATTTAAAAGGCTATATTTTCCTGGAATTACCTTTTTGTGACATTAATACAAACTGTTCATGGTTGGTTGATTTTTTGGCAAGTAGAAAATAAGGGTTGGGATTTGTTGTTTGTTTTTTTTAAGTAATAAAAGCTCTTGAAAAGATATCGATTGTAACGTTGCATTATTTCAAACCTCATTTTTAAAAATGCTTAAATGCTTTTTTTAACAAATAAATTTCTTGACAATGCCTGATCATTTTCAGAAGTAGGAGCAGGTTACGTGCTTGTTTTGGTGCAGCATAACTAAACTGCAAGAGTTCCCACTAGAATATTCACAAAATAATTACTGCCTGATTTTTGCATAAAATAGGAATTTGTTTCTTAATTTTAACCTCTCTGAAGCTCCCTTTACAGTAAGGTACGAGTCAGACCAATACTGCTTACAGCTGGGGTGTCATATTTTACACAGCTGCTTAAATAGGTTAGAAAAAAAGAAATAATCACTTAGAACATCTTGAGTACAATAAATTTAAAAAAGATATTGCAGATAAGGATGTATAACAGGTAGTTGACAACTGTCAGACCCGACCAAGTTGTTTTAGGGATGTGATTTGATGGGGACTGGGCAGAGCATTGGCATGTGCCACTTAAAATGCTGCTACAAGCAGAGTCACAGAATATTCACAGTAGGAAGGGGCACACGAGGATCATTGAGTCCAACTCTTGGCCCTGCACAGGACACTCCTAAGAATCATACCATGGATCCAACAGCACAGTCAGGCATTTCTTGAACTCTGTCAGTCTCAGGGCAGTGAACACTGCCCTGGGCAGCTGTTCAGGTGTCCAACCTCCCTCTGGGTGAAGAACCTTTTTTTAATGTCCGATCTAAATCTACCCTGACAACTTGAGGCCATTCCCTTGGGTCCTGTCACTGGCTGCCAGAGAGAAGAGGTCAGTGCTTGCCCCTCCACTTCCCGTGGTGAGGAAGTCATATACAGTGATAGATGTTGTATACAGTGGAGCCCATTCCCTTGGGTCCTGTCACTGGCTGCCAGAGAGAAGAGGTCAGTGCTTGCCCCTCCACTTCCCGTGGTGAGGAAGTCATATACAGTGATAGATGTTGTATACAGGTGAAGGATGAAGCTGTAAGGATTACTGTGAAAGGTAATATAATATCATGGAAGAGATGCAGGGGGTGTACAGGTGAGGAGGTGGGGAAGAGAAAGGATAGGGGGAATGTAAGCTTAATGGACAAAGGTTTTTATGAGGACTGAATGGTGGAATGCTTAAAAAATGAGACCTGTGGGTGTAGAACAGGAGAGACGTAGCCTTTGACTTGCTATCCTCATATACCAATGTGGAATTAACAGTGTATGTGAGCAGCAGTGGCTGAATTTGTTATCAGTCTTCTCACTGTCCTAAAGGTTCCTATAGACATTGATACAACAGCAGCCTATTAGCATAGAAGCTGTACGTATTCTAAGGAACGACCTCAGAACACTTTGGACTGAAAAAAACTAGGATTAGAGGTGAAAACATGGAGCTCAGAAAGGAAATCAGTGATTGTCCTATAGTCTTGGGTGTGAACAAGACCTGTGGAAAAACCATCTCCCTACCAAAGGCCCAGCAACAGTCTTCCTGACCTTATCTGTTGGTTTTGTATGAGTTAGGATGTTTGCACTGTGCGTTGTCTCTCACAAGGTGGGTGTGTAAAGATTAGTGCATGGGCCAGGCCAGTTAAACCTGGCAGGTGTCGTTGTGCTTAATAATTTCAGAGAAGCCCGCAGGAAAAAGACAGGCTGCCTTTGTACCTGTTGATTTTGTCAAATCCTTCATCGATGACATAAGCAAACAGAAGTCTCCTGACCTGTGGGAATTCTCCACATTCCCTTTGCCACACCCTCGACCCCAAGTTCATGTTTTGCAAAGTGCTTTAATTTTAAAAACAAGGATTACTGAGCACGTTTGTGGAAGTATGAGCTCCTGGGAGAATGAAGATTTCAAAGTTCATGTTGATCTTAAGTTTTTATAGACTTGGTATCTTTTCTCAGAAAGATACCAATGATGTGTTTCTGCTGACTTAGTGTATATATATGCTGTATTTTTCTTTTGCAATACCTACATAATGTGAATAGGATCCCTTCAAATTACGTATCACATGATGTTTTGGAACAAAACCCTCAGTTCTTCAGAGAAAAAGAAGGAAATGTCCGGAGAGCTTAGAAGCAAAACATCAATGATTTTTGATTTTAATATTAACAAAAAACCTAAAACAACTGCAGAGCATAGGTAAGAAGGGCATGGAAATAAGTCTGTCCTCAACTTCTTGGATTTGTAGTGAAGAGAAGAAATTGTTCTATGCAGAAAGGGTAGTTTAAAGACCCACCTTTTGTATTCCTCCTCTGGTGTTTTGGGGAATCACAAGTGCTAGAAAATTATTATTCTCCAAGTCAGTTTGTTGTATGATTGTACAGTTCACATGGAGGTCTGGTGACTTCTTGGTAAAGTGAAGAAGGAACTGGCAGATATTTGAGGCTAATACAGGAGAACGGAACTAAAGTATTAAAGCATTTCAACAGTTTTCCCCTTCCGATGTTATGAAACATGCAATAGCAGCTTGAGGAGAGCCTCTTCTTCAGAAATTCAGAAGCTGGTTGGTCTTAGTTTAATAAAAGGGGAAAAGTTATCAAAACCAAAAATGGACATTACTGGGAAACAAATTCAATGTTAGGCTTGAAAATCCTGTTTATAAGGAAATCAAGTATTGCTGCAGCAAAGACTTGTGTTGAACTCTATTGTCTCCAGTGCCAGTTTGGCACTGCTGGAGATTTGCTCTGGTTTCTAGGACAGTGTGCCGTGGCTCCTCATCACAGGTATAAAGGTTGCCCAAATAGAGGAATATTGCTAATCTGGATTTTGGAACTCACAGCAAACATTTATGGACATGACCTGGAACAGAGGGTACAGGTGACTGAAACAGTTCTGATTCAGCTCTTTCTGCTGAAAGATCCAAGTCTAAACTATCAATGGAGGAGGTATTGCATGAGTTTGTCTTGTAGTAGAGCAGTGTGTCATTGGAGGAGGGAAATTCCTCAGTAATCTCTGACATTGAGATGAAGTTGTCATGTTATTGGATTTCAATTATTAGAGCAGAAGTCAAACTCAAAGACCTGTGATACTGCGAGATCCAGAGACAGGTCTTTGTACTTTCTGAAGGGCGTGTTTCTCCTGAAGGGTCAGATGTTAATTTCTTTTCTTTGCATAGAAGCAGGAACAGTCAGTTTTTGAAACTGTATTCCACATAAAGATGTCATTGCACTTTCAGGATGGGGAAGTCAAGCAAGTCTTCCAACATTGTACCTGGGTCGTAGCTGTGCTTCTTATGACTACTGAACTCAAGGGGAGAAAGTCCTTTGAAGCATGTATTTCTTTTGTTGGCTACTGTACTGCTCTTCAGGTTCTGCCAGAGCTTTAGTAATGGGAGTTGCACAGAGATAATATCAGTGCCAGTTGCAGAGGTTTCCACAGCTCAGCACACATTTGGCACTGTCTTAACTGGAAAGCAAAGATTTCAGTAGCACATACATGGGAATGCCTTCCCCAGGATTAGAGGCAGAGCAAGGGTCATATATAATTTATCTGTCTCTGTATTTGGGCCACTTTGCGGAGTCTTTGTGAGCTTGAAACAGTTGTAAGGGCTACCAGTATTTTTCTTGTTCCTCCTGCTTTTCTCATGTTTTCTTATTGCACATTGGCTGTCTGTTTTGAGCTTCAAGTTAGGAAACTAACAAATTGCTAGTTTAAAATTCTTGATGATAAAAAGTAGCTTTTTGTGAAAAACACATGATTTCATGGCACTATGAATATTACATGACTTGCTAGTTTTAGGAGATTAAGTCATGTAGATTAAGTACTCAAAGTGCAAATCTAAAACAGGATTTCGATAACTCACTTGAATTATTCTTAGATATTCAATTCCAAAAGCAAGAATAAATGCTTTGTTTTTCAGGTCCAAGGCCTGCTGTGTTTCTGCAGCATGGTTTGCTTGCTGATGCCAGCAACTGGATCACAAACTTGGATTACAACAGCCTTGGCTTTATGCTGGCAGACGCTGGCTATGACGTGTGGCTGGGAAACAGCAGAGGGAACACCTGGTCCAGGAAACACACACACTTCACAGTGAAGCAAGAAGAATTCTGGGTTTTCAGGTATCGTCATCTTGCTATCCTCAGTCACAGTGTGAATGTGCAAGATACTTTTTTTCTGGTTATGTCACATATGTGGAGCAGCAAAGGAGAGTTTTGTGGTCAGTATAGTGTGCTGCAATTCAGCAGGTGGTCAGTAGAATATTTATTGCTTTCACCAGTGCTTGGTGTGAAGACTCAATCACCAGGGTGTTATGCTTCAACCAAAGGAAACTTCTTTTTATGTCCAGACAATGGATCCACAGTGCAGGAAGGCTCTGTGCAGCTGTTCCTCACTGGTAAGTGTGCTTACACAACTGACTTTCTGTCTTTGTTTTGTAGCTTTGATGAAATGGCCAAGTATGACATTCCAGCCTCAGTGGATTTTATTTTGGAGAAAACTGGCCAGGAACAAGTATTTTACATTGGCCATTCACAGGGCACCACAATGGGTATGTGAAGAGATGCATTTGTTGTGTTTGAAATGGTATGAAGTTCCACATATGTGGTTTAATGATTAAAAAGTAGGGCTTTTGAAATCTACTGCTTCTGGTTTTAGCTGCTTCCTGGAATAATAAAAAAAAAGACGAGCTTTCTGTGTTTACTTAAAGTGGAAAGCTGTCGAAATGGTAGATTGAAGTCACATGTCCAGTCACACACCAGTAAAGCTTTTATTAAAACTAACTGAAGAACTATGCATAATAAAACTAGAATAATCAGACACATAAAGATTCCCATTTCCAGAATATTTTCCTGTATGTAAACCTAGGTCATGTGCTTTAGACCTCCTAATAGAAAGAGCTAGATGTGTTGGGTTAGCTAGCATTAACTTGCTTGTTGGAAGAAAACAATCCTGAATTGTGTTTTATTTGGGTTTTGTAAGTACATTATCTAAACTGATCCTAGATACTACAGTCAAACTATTAGTCTAAAATACTTTGACACACTTTCTCTTAGATTTTTGTAGAATCAATGCCAGGTAAAATTCTCCTCTAACTTCTGTCAGTGAGGTTTGTTAATTATTCTATGTTGTTTACAGCTTTCATTGCCTTTTCAACTTTGCCACAGCTGGCTAAGAAAATAAAAATGTTCTTTGCCTTGGCACCAGTAGCTACAGTCAAGTTTGCTACTAGTCCTCTGGTAAAACTGGGAGTGTTTCCTGACCTGCTACTCCAGGTTTGTATTTGAGTGTAAATGTTTTAAGCCAAATGAGGTATCCCTCTTTCAAGTTGAAAACAGCATAGCAAAGAATGTTAATAATAATGTGGATTAGAGAGGGACATATGACTAGAATTCTAGGTCAGTTTTACCATAATGATGCTATTGAAGTCAGCAGCGACTTCTCTGGCTTTATTACTGTCTAGTGAGGCAATTTGCATCAGTTTAAATAGTATTTTACAATTACAGATTAGTAAATGGAATAAAATGATGTTGTTCCATTTACATATTTCTAGAATTTAAGCTACAGAAATCACATGATTAATTAAATTGTTGCTCTGTTTTAGAAGAGTCACAGCATAGCTTTATATAGAATACTTCTATTTATGAGTTGTCATGAACTTTAACAGGTTTGTTTCACAGTTAGCCATTTAGTATTGGAAGAGGATCCTTCAGAGGGTGATTAAGAGCAGCAGCTTTATTTAGATGCTGTGAATCATCCTTTGGAGGAGCTTACCTCTTCCCCATTAACATCAAGGGGAGGCTGCAGTGAGGGCCTGAAGTCAGACATGGTGAACACCCTGCTGTGTGTCATTTTTAACCATCACTTTTATTTCCACCACCCATGGAGATTGCCACAAAGAGCTGTTTGTTCTGTGAGATTAACCCTGCTCTGATGTACCTTGTACCAATTTAATGTGTGTCTGCATTCTTGGTTCCCTGCTCCAAAGGCAGTTAACATAAAAGCGACACCAACAATTGTGATCTCCTGTTCCTTGCTTAATAGACTTTGTCTAATGAGACAAGCAGCTCATCAGTGCCCTGTGCAGATGTTCATGTTGTGCTGAGAAACTTGATTCTCATGGTGACTTGCAAAAAAACAGGAGTGCATAGGGTGGTGACAAACCAATAGGTCAACCATATCTTTGCAGAACTGTGTCAGTTTTAAGGAAGTTCTCAGTGGGCCAATTTAAAATCCTTGAACATTTTAAAAATATCCATCAAGAGGAAGTGGTTACCACAGCCCATGCATGCAACTTGTTTTTTTCTCATGGTTTGAAGAGAGGAAGTTGTAAGTATAAAGCCATCTGACATTAGCAGACACAGCTTAACAAACTTTAGCCTTAAACAATTCTGATGACAAGAAGCTGCACAATATACCTGTAAAGTGCTGAATTTAAAATTGGTTTCAATTTGAGGTTAGGTTTGGAATTTTGAAAGGTTTTCCTAGTTACAATGTACTTTTTATGGGTTTAATGGACTGCACCATTTGTGGCAGAAGCTCTCACAGTGATGTTCCCATTGGTCTCTGAACAAGGCTGATAAGGAGATAAATCATTTTCATAGGACACACCTGTCACCAGAGCAAATGGAAATAATTACCTCAAGAATGTTGTAGTGTCAAAATTGAAAACAGGTTACTCTGTGCAATTATGTTTGTCCTGTGTGTTTGATATTTTGTAGGACATGTTTGGAAAGAAGCAATTCCTCCCTCAGAATTCTCTGCTGAAGTGGCTTGCTACCCATGTTTGCACTCACAGAATACTTGATGACCTTTGTGGCAACTTATTCTTTCTTCTCTGTGGTTTCAATGAGAGAAACTTGAATATGGTGTGTGCTCATGACTTTTTTTAATAGCTAAGCTGTTGTGAACTCTAACACAGTATTGACTGTGTGTGTCACTGTGCTGATCGACCTTTATGTGTAATTAGAAAACCACTAATGCCAACTTCATCATACTGAGTTTGGATTAATATCTTCCCTTGGTATAGCTTAGTTGCACAGCTGGGACGGATAGAATCAACCTTTTAAAATGTTACTGGAAAGCTAAAATACATTATTTTTGATTAGCTGGGAAAGAGGGTAAGAGAAATTAATTAATATGATGGGGCAAATATTTAATTCCTTTTGCAAGGAAGTGAGGAATAAAGACAGTTTTCAACCATTTTCAACAGAACTTGAAGTTTTCTGGCCTTGTGGTGGATGTGTGCAATTACTTTGTCTGGGATCCATTTCTGGCCCTGCTGATGGCTTCATCTGCAGCTCTAGTTTCAAAGGACTTGTTCACAGGATGTTTTGGTGCCTATGGGGCAAATATTTAATTCCTTTTGCAAGGAAGTGAGGAATAAAGACAGTTTTCAACCATTTTCAACAGAACTTGAAGTTTTCTGGCCTTGTGGTGGATGTGTGCAATTACTTTGTCTGGGATCCATTTCTGGCCCTGCTGATGGCTTCATCTGCAGCTCTAGTTTCAAAGGACTTGTTCACAGGATGTTTTGGTGCCTAAGAGCTGGTTAACAGCAAGAGGCCTCACCAAGAGCAGACCTGGTTAACAGCAAGAGGCCTGAGACCATCTTTTTTTCGTAATGCTGCTTAAAGTGCCTCCAACTTCCTGAAATCAGTAGAAGCTATGATTAGTTTAAACACAGGTAGATGAAGGCTGAGAATTGCTTTATTGCAGTGAGATAGACTTAGCTTTTTTCATCATTCTGTGTGCAAAAATGTACACATTAAAAGAATTCCTATCAAGGTGAAAGTGCGTTGTGTGTGTGTGTGTTCTTGCCCAACACATACAGTTTTCATAGTTTTAATGGTGGCTAATATTTTGGTTTTCTCCCAGGATTTAAGTTTCCCCTTGGTATTTTGTGTTTTTAAACTCAAAATGTATGAAGTTCTGAATCACTTTGGACTGACAGCTACTAGTTGAAATGTAGAGTAATGCAAGGTTCTTCTGAAGATGCATCCCAATTCTTACAATACTAGCACTTTTCAAAAAAATATTCTGATTATATAAAATGCTTAAGGGATTTAATTATTGGGTTTAAAGTTCAGCTTTAAAGTTCTGCAGTTAATTGTAATTGGTGTGATTCTCAGCGGTGTCTTGTGCAGGGCCAGGGTAGGACTAGATGATCCTCAGGGGTCCCTTCCAACTCTGATTATTCTGTGATTCTGTAATTAATCCCCCAAATGTTTGAACCTTGTATCTCATCTGTATGTATGACTTCAGTTAACTTTTGTTTATAACAGTTTTAAAAGGAATGGGATAGCTTCTGTTAGTTGCCCAGGAAGCAACAATGGGTAGAACTGGTGCACTATGAGGAGTAAACCATGTCAATTGTCTTGTTGCAGAGCCGAGTGGATGTGTATTCAACACACTGCCCTGCAGGAACATCTGTACAAAACATGATCCACTGGAGCCAGGTAGAGTTTCTTGAATCTAAAATGTCCTTGACTCTAGCTTGTTTGTTGAATATTGATGCCTGATAAATAAATGTAAAAATATTGCCAAATACATATGCAGCATACCCCAACTGAAATTTTGTAACTGCCAGTTTTCAGAATGGCAGCTGTTCACTGCAGCTGCATTTGTGGTAATGATTTAGGATGGTTTTCCCCTGTTTCTTTGATAATATGCTAAGTGTAAGTACTTCAGGACAACAAAAAAATACATCAGAATAACTTGGAGGGATGCTGTAACAAGTATTTTTCCCCTTTCAGAAACCCCTATTTTGATTACAAGTGATGTTTTTAGCCAGTGAAAAGCAGCAGGTTTTCTGTTCTATTCTAATTGGCTTCATTTTATATTTTATCAATATAGTCTGAATTGTATCTCAGGGCACAGTTTCAAGCCTGTGATGCTGTTGTGCCTGAAGCTTGCTCAACGGCTGACATTTCCCACAGAAGCAGTGGTCAATGCTACTTATGATCCTGTAGCTGGACTTGGTTGCCTAATCAGAAGCAGTTTGTTGTGCTTTACACAGCTGTTCAAGTGGTGGCTTGGAAAGAAATTTGTGAAGAGTTTTCTTTACAGATCCTTGTTACATAGACTTTGGTTTCTGAAAAATAGTAGATGGTAAATCACGCAGAGTAGACTTTCTGAGAAAGCTCCGTGCTGTGTTCATATACATTTAGACAGCAAGGGAAATATTTCAGAAATAAGCATGGAGCTGCCACATCCTGACTTTGGATACAGCAAACTGTTTTCCTTAATCTTTTCTACCATTGTTATGAGAGAGTGTGAAATCTTAAAGGATGAAGCCTAATGGAATTGAATGTTAATGTTTCCCACTCCTGTAACACTAGGCAAAGCAGTGACACTTGTCCTTAACAGGCATTCCACTGTTTCTTATGTTGGTTGCCATTGCCAGTTCTTCAGATGACCTACACTTTTTAATTCTTGTGGGAGTAGTGTTGCCGTTCTTCTTTGTATGTATGAATATTTGTTATTTTTCTAGGCTGTGAAGACAGGGGAGCTCAAAGCTTATGACTGGGGCAGCAAGGCTGCAAATATGGCTCACTACAACCAGGTATACATATTTTACATATACAATTCTTGAGTGTTGCTAAAAAAAGTCCTTTTGCACTTCTCTGAGTGCTGTGTTTATGCTGCATGCTAAATAGCCTCTAGTGTTGTGCAATAACCAGACTGGAGATCTGTTTTTTTAAAAGAAACAAACATGAAACCTGACATGACTGCAGAGCTCTGAGATAGTCCTGAGTCAATATGGAGCTCACACTGGGATACAAAGTTGTGGCACACTGTTTCTCTGGTAGGAGTCCTGCCTGCCTAGATTGTGAGATCCCTCTGCACCTCTCATGAGGTGGCAGAGAGCGTCGGTTCATGCATGCTGTTTGTCTTTAGTCTGTTTCATTTCCACATTTTTGTTTCTAAGTTGCTGCATGCAATACGAAAAATGTTTGGCCCCTTGTCTCTTTATTGACTGCGAAGTATTGCAGTATCATACTTTCAGAGTAGCAGTCACTTTTGGTATTAGATGGGAGTTCAGAAATACCTCTCAACTCCTCAAACCACATCTTTACTGCTACAAGTGCTGTAATACTGCACCAACTCTTGCAGTTACATTTTTGGTTGAGTCAAGACTTCATCTCTATATCTAGCTGCCCAAGAGAGGAAGAGAAAATAAGACTCTGACACGTTGTTGCTAGTATGTTATCCTGCACTGTAGTATCACACTGAAGAGTTTTTTTCTTACTAATACTTCTGTTTTTGCTTTTCCCCTCCTCAGTCTACTCCCCCTCTCTACAAAATAAAAGAGATGACTGTACCAACTGCAGTGTGGACTGGTGGACAGGACTGGCTGGCAGACCCAAAGGATGTTGCTATGCTGCTCACTCAGATCACAGATTTGGTTTACCACAAAAACATTCCAGAATGGGAACATTTGGATTTCATCTGGGGTCTTGATGCACCTTACCGCATGTATAATGAAATAATTAACATGATTAGGAAGTACCTCTAAACCAACATGGTATTTCACATTATTAGTTCACCAGGAATTTGTCTTTTTTTAAAATACACTTTTCTGGCAATAATGCCACATTGTTTAGTATGATGCACTTTTAAAATGCCAGCAATGACCACTGAATCGGATTCATATTTGGTTTGTTTTTCTCAGTATTATTTCTCTGTCTCCATAGTATTCTGCTGTTTTGCACACAGTGGCATGGTACTCAAAACAGAGTAGTAGGACTTTGCACAAAAGGAGTATGTCATGTGCACATAAATTTAGTGACATGTCTGAAAGACAAGTTAGTCCATTCAGCACCTCAGGTGCTTAACAGTTAATAAGTATTTCACTGTGCACAGAATTGCCATTTCTCAGTACACTGCCATTTCTGAGTAGCTCTCAGAAGTACTCCTTGTACTGCAGTGACCCATTTGGTGCTGGTACTTTACAAAGCACTTAGTGACTTTTTGCTGTGTTACTATTTTTTAGCCATCACATACAGGCTAGCTACATCAGATGAGTTTCTTTTTCAGTATCACCCAGAAGAACTGTCATGAAGCCAGAGAAGATGACCACTGTCAGTTAAAATCTCCTATTTTGGAACTGATTTATTGCTGCATTTTCCTTGATTTAATGGTGTCCCTGAAGCCTTTCATGTTTCACATATCAGCTGTGGATATGGGTCATTATTTGCTGTTACAGATTCCTGGAACAAGAGAACTGGTTAAAAGAAATACCACTTTCAGTTAGCTTTGTCAATAGGTTATGGCTTTCGAGGAGAATGATCTAACATACTTGTGTTTTGTTTTCTTTGCACTGACCACTAACTAGAAAAGAAGCTCCTCCAGTATTCTACTGGTGAGAGAAGAGCCAAAGCATTAATTCTACAGCTTGAGTGACTTACTTTGCTTGGACTTTTCCCCTTAATCATCTGCTGCTTAGAAGATCTGTTTACTTAACTGCTTATATGGTGCTGCCCACCAGTGTGCTTAGGAACTGTAAAACAGCCTGGAGAAGTCTGACAGTATTAACAGCAGTTCCATTTGACTCAGTTGCCACTTCAAAATGGGGCTAAGCCCTCATTTAATGGGGGAGAGGATTCACATCTGCTGCAGGGGTCTGACTTTGGAGCTCTTCCATTAACTATGCAGAGGGACTATGACTCCTCTGAAATGCATAAAAATTCCATACCAAATGAACAATCTCCAGAGTCAGTTGCCTCAGTCCAGATGATAATTTCTGTGCCATGGTAGGATTCAACTCAGATTTCTGTCAGTAATCCCGGCAGGATAAAAGCCTTTCTATGTGGCATAGGAAATCGTGCATTTTAAACTGAGGAAAACTGTTTTTTGTAAAAAAAAAAGCAAAAAAAAAGCAAAATATACACATAAGCCATTAATTAAGGTTGGTTGGGTTTTTTTATTCCTAATGCAGACTCAGGGAATGCTCAGGTGTTGTTTAAGTAAAATGTGGTTCATGGTATTTTGGTTGTGTTTCCTAGCAGGACCTCTGAGTTTGCTTCATATTTGTAGCAGCCAGATTTGCTTCACTTTGTTGTGCTGAAAGGAAGTTTCTGTAGGAATCCAAGGTGGCTAGCTTAGGAGTTGTGAGGGTATGTGATACAGCAAGAGCCATGTGCATCATGTTTATTCAGGCTGAGATACTTCAATAAACATGAGACCTGCTTGGAGTTCAGAGTGGTGTGTTGTGTTTCACTTCCTGTTTCGTGAATACATGTGCATCTTTGGGATGGAATCCAGAAAGCCTACTCTGTTTTTCACAACATCCACAGAACAAGTACAATTAAGTAAAATAGCCACATAAGCTTCCATTTTACCTTTTCCCTGAAAGAAGCTTTTCTCATGCCCAAAAGGCCATTCCTGTTGGTTTGGAGGAGAATCATAGAATCGTCAGGGCCGAAGGAGACCTCTAATATAATCGAGTCCAATCATTAACCTGTCGCTCTGCTGTAACCCCTAAACCATATCTTTCAGATCCAGACACCTCTTAAACACCACCAGGGTTGGTGACTCCACCACCTCCCTGGGCAACCTATCCCAGTGCCTGAACACCCTAACAGTGAAAAAAATCTTTCCTTGAAAAAAGATTTAATCTGTCTCTACCCTGTCTCAGCTCAAGGCCATTCCCTCTAGCCCTCTCCCTGCAGCCATGGCAGGAGGGACCATCCCCCACCTCTTTCGAAGCCCTGTCAGGGAGTTTAGAGAGCCATGAGTCACCCCTGAGCCTCTTCTCCAGGCTAACCAAGCCCAACTCCCTCAGCCCTTGCTCATGTGCTCTAGCCCTTTGTTGACTTCATTGCCCTTGGCTGGACTCCAGTGCCTCAGTGTCCTTTTTGCAGTGAGGGGCCCAAAGCTGAGCACAGCACTGAGCTGTGACCTCCCCAGTGCTGAGTCCAGGGGATGATCACTGCCCTAAGTCCTGCTACTACACTTCTTGATACCGGCCAAGATGCTGTTGGCCTTCTAGGCCACTTTTGTACGCTGATGGCTCATATTGAGCCACTGTCAATCAGATTTGAGACTTTTAAGTAAGGTACTAATTGTAAATAATCCCTCACAAGACAGAGTCACTTTCTAAGCCTCCAGGTGAGGTTTCTTTCAAACCACTGACGTGGTGGAAAGGTTCTTGTTTCATAATCTTAAACCTTGGGTAATTGGATTGCTTAATGAACTGTGGTAATCTCATAAATAGCATTTAACCACATAGTAAGACAGGGAACTAATCTTTGCTGTGGTACATGTGAACTAGCTTTTGACCTCTGTCACCTTCAATAATAAATATGTTCAGGCTGTACCTTTCTGTACATTCTGAATACTGTATTTGTGCAGTCAAGACAGCAGAGTGTATTAAATCCTATGTGTTGCCACCTTTGTCAGCTGATTAACAGCCTTTGTGCCTGGAAATAAAGCCAGAGTATGGGAAGCTTTACACTAGAACCATTATGGAGCATCTCTGCTTCACTGCAGCAGGGATGGTTATGGAAATTGTGAGCTGCTGTGTTCTCCTTGACACAAGAAAATTACAAGCACTGTGTGGCACAAACTTGGAGACGTGTCAGTGGAAAGAAATGTGCAAAATAAAACACCCTGAACACTGAGAAAAGCAAGGAGCCTGGTCTAATAGGAATCAGCAGTGATGAATGGTACATTTTTCTAAGCAGATCTTAGATACTTACTGTCTGTTCTGTAGACATCTGTGTGCTACCAGTGTGTATATATATATGAGGCTGAAGGTTGACTGAGCATCAGCTTTGGATAAAAATGCACTGGCGTAACAGACAGCATTGGACACCTTCTGCTGACTTAGTATCAGCATTTAGTGATATGATCAAACTTTGACAGAAAGAAGAAAGTAGTCCCCATCCAGCTGATGAATTGCCAGAGTCACAGACCTGTGTGCATCTGAAGAGAATGCACAATCCAGGACTTTGACTTAGACATGTACAACAGACATACAAGGGATAACACGGACAAAAAGACACATGGTTTTGTCCTCATGTTGTGCTTGGAACTTGAAAAGGATTTTTTTATAGTCATCTCTAAGCATATTCACACTGATCATTTCATGCAGAAGGCCCAAGGATGGAGGAATGTGTCTGTGCTAGTGGAGTGTCCTGAATGATGCACTCACTCTGTGCAGAGCATTTTTACACTAGGTAGTGATTCCATGACTAGTGATAACACTCACAAGTTTATACATCAACTCAAGCAACATAGACATCCCTCAGCATAAGAAGTGATGGTAAAACAGAGCTCCTGCTCCCTTGGGCCCTGTAAGAGAAACAGTTTTGTTGGCTTGGGAACAAAATAAACCAATTTTCTATAAATCATTCTTTATGGTGAATGTGCCACACAGTAAAAAGGAAACATAATTACTTTAATATAAAAAGTTACAAATGGCTTCAGTCTGTAAGATATGAGAGAGAAACCATGATGGCTGAATAGGTTTTCAGATATACAGTAAAATGTGGCTCTAGGTGGAAGATTTTTCTGTAATTAAAGCATTTATAATATTGTCTCCCTTTCTTTGATGTCTTATAAAATACAAACTTATGCTGCAGCACTGCCTATCATGAATTTGCTAATAATAGCCTTCCTTCTTCAGCAGCCTATTTTTGTATAATTTTATTTTAAATAATTGATGAAATAAAAGCTTATGAAGGTTGGGTGGACAGTATGCACACCTGTAACATGATTTCTTGGATCTGATTTTCTGAGCTGAAAAGTATCTGTATTGCATTCTGACTCCTCCAGAAATTCTGAGTGTAGTTGTAGAGGTTGCAAATCAATTTCTCACTCTGGAGTTATGAATTCTGAATAAAAGAATTGTAATATCTTTTCCTGACAGTTACTATTTTGAAAACTGAACATGATAAGGTAAATCTTGAGAATTAGCAAATTACTTTGCTGGCAGCATCACCATCACCAACCACTGTTAGGAGCTCATTAAGGGACCTTTGATTATGCTTTGTGCTGGCTGGAGAGGTTTCCAGCGAAGCTTGGTTGATGAGGTGAAGATTAAGATTTTGGTGAAGTAAATGTGTTAGTTCTGTTAAGAGAAGTATTTAGTGTTTAGGCTAAAGTTTTTAATCAAAACTGAAGAGGAATATGTGTTTTTCATCCTCAAATACTCAGTGTACCCATGGACTCAAAGTTCAAGCTGCTTACCTGAGAGGTGAGGAGTAGAGGCTCATGTCCCTTTTTGGTTCTTCAAACCTCAGTTCTGGTGCCCTCAACATAAGCACATGGAACTGTTGGAGCAAGTCTAGAGGAGGCCACAAAGATGAAAAGAGGACTGGAGCATCTCCCCTACGAACACAGGCTGAGGAAGTTAGGGCTGTTCAGCCTGGAGAAGAGAAGGTTGCGTGGAGACCTCATAGCAGCATTTCAGTATCTGCAGGGCTTACAGGGGAGCTGGAGAGAGACTCTTTGTTAGGAGCTGCAGTGATAGGACAAGGGGTAACAGATTCAAATTGAAGGAGGGGAAATTTAGAGTAGATATTAGGAAAAAGTATTTTACTGTGAGAGTAGTGACACACTGGCACAGGTTGCCCTGGCAGGTTGAGAATGCCCCAACCCTGGCAGTATTCAAAGCCAGGTTGGATGAGGCCTTGAGTAACCTGGTCTAGTGGGGAGTTATCCCTGCCCACAGCAGGAGTTTGGGACTAGATGATCTCTAAGGTCCATTCCAACCCTGCCCTGGATCAGAATGCCTAA